GAGAGTGAATGAAGAAGAGTGAACGATTAAGAGACAAGCAAGAGTGTGGGTGAGATCTTGAGAGACCAAGAGACAGTGGGAGTGTGAATGAGAGAGAGTAAGTTAGAGTGTGACAGAGAGCAAGACAGTGTGAATGAGAGAGTAAGATTGATTCAAAGCGTGTATGAGAAAGACAGCAACAGTGAGCACGAATGAGTGAAGGAGAGAGCAAGTGCGAAAGCCATTGAGTGAGACCTGGAGAATGAGAGAGAGAGAGAGAGAGTCAGAGTGAGAGTGAGAGAGAATAGGAGACAGTGTGTGTGAGAGAGTGAGTGTGAGGGAGTGAGAGTGTATGATAGTGAGAGTTAGAGAGAGTGAGTGAGAGAGAATGAGAGAGAGAGAGAAGAAAAGAGTGAGTGGGAGAGAGAATGAAAGTAAGATAGAGTGAAAGTGAATTGAGAATGAGCTTGAGAGCGCGAGTGTGACTAAGAGAGTGAGTGGGAGAGCGAAGGAGCAAGTGAGAGAGGGAGTGTGTGAGATAGTGAGACTGAGACTGTGTGTGTGTGAAAATTTGTGAGCAAGAGGGTGAGTGAGGGCATGTGAGAGTGAGAATGACAATGAGAGCAAGTGAGAAGTGAGAAATAGAGTGTAAGTGTGAGAGTGAGCAAGTGGGAAAGCGAGAGTGTTAAAGAGTATAAGAGAGTGTGAGTGAGAGTGACTGACAGCGAGTGAGAGAGTATGAGAAAGTAAGTTAGTGAGTGAGAGAGCCCACAAGAGAAAGCATGGGAGAGAGCAAGTTAGAAAGTGAGTGTGAAAGACAGTGAGTGAGAGAGTAAGTGAGAGCAAGTCAGGGAGCGAGACAGCGTGAGTGTGAGGGTGTTAGTGAGAGAGTGTGAGTAAGAGAATGAGAGCATGGGAGAGAGTGTGTGAGTTACAGACTGAGAATGTAAGTAAGAGTGAGACTGAGCCTGAGACAGAGCGAGAAAGTGAGACAGCAAGACAGAGAGAGAGTGTGAGTGACAGTTTGAGTTTGAATAAAAGAATGTGACTGAGAGTGTGAGACAGTATGAGAGAGTGAGGGTGTGAGAGGGATAGCGTGAGTGGGAGAATGAGAGAGCGAGAAATAGAGCAAGAGTGTGTGAGAAAGAGAGTGACAGAGCGAGAGAGAATGATTAAAAAACAGTGAAAAGACACAAGAGAGAGCTAGAGAGGGAGTGTGAGAGAGATTAAGAGAGCGAGCGAGACAGCAAGAGAGAGCATGAGAGGTGAGGGCGGGAGAGAGAGCAAGAAAGAGATAGTGGTGAGAGGGAGTGTGAGTGAGTGAGGGGGAGTGTGTGAGAACAAGAGCAAGAAAGTGAGTTATTGAGTGAATGAGAGAGAGGTTGAAAGAGTGTATGAGAGAATGAGTGCAAGAGCAACTGACAGTGAGAGGGCACGAGTGAGTAGGAGAATGAGAGAATGTGAGAGTGACTAAATGTGAGAGAGAGAGAGTGTAAGAGTGAGTGACAGAAAGAGAGAGAGAGAGTGTGAGTAAGGATGAATGAGTGAGAGAATGAAGGAGAGTGAGTGAGAATGAGAGCAATTGAGATAATGACAGAGAGGAGAGTGAGGCAGAGAGCTAGAACGCAGAGAGCTAGAACGTGTGGGTGAGTATGAGGGAATGTGAGTGAGAGAATGAGTGAGCAAGTGAGAGAGAAAGTATGAGAGCAAGAGAGGGAGTGAGAAAATGTGAAGGCCCACAAAAGAAAGAGCAAGTTAGAGAGTGTGAGAGAGCAAGATGGAGAGTGTGAGTGAGAGAGAATACGTGAGAGAGTGATAGCGAGTGAGTGCGTGTGTGAGTAGTGAGAGAGACAGATTGAGAGTTAGAGATAGCAAATGAGAGCAAGTGACAGCAAGACAGAGTGAGGGATAGGGTGAGGAGTGAGTGAGAGAGAGAGGGAAAGAGAGAGTGGCGAGAGACTGAGAACAAGTGAGAGCCAGGGAGAGATGAGTGAGAGAAAGAGCGACTGGCAGTGAGTGAGAAGAATAAGAGAGAATGAGAAAAGTATGTGAGAGAGTAAAATGAGTATGAGAGTGAGAGAAAGCAGTAAAGAGCGGGATAGTGAGAGAGAGAGAAATTGAGAGAGTGGGTGAATGAGAGATACTGGTGAGAGAGAGAGTAAAAGATAGTGGTAAGAGTGGGAGTGAGTGAGTGACACATTGAAGGAGTGAATGAGGGTGCGTGAGTGGGAGAATGAGGAAGCGAGAAATGGAGTGAGATTGTGTGAGAGTGAGTAAAAGTAAGTTTGAGAGAGAAAGAGCAAGACAGTAAGTGAGATAGTGAGAGAGAGTGAAAGTGTGAGTGAGCAAGTATGAGTGAGAGTGAGAGAGACTGAGAAAGATTCAGTGTGAGAGAGAGAAAGTGACTAACAGCAAGTGAGAGAAAGAGTGGGAGAGACGGATAGAGAGAGAACGGATAGAGAGCGAGAGAGCCACTGACAGAGCTAAAGAGAGTATGAGAGAGTATGAGTGAGTGTGTGAGCGAGGGCACAAGGGAGACAGAGTGAGTGAATGTGAGAGTAAAAGTGAAAGTCTTAAGAGTGAAAGGCAGCAAGAGAGAGATTAATACATGCGAGAGTGTGAGTGAGAGAGCGCTAGAGAGCAGGAGAGAGAACGAGTGAGTGAGTTAGAGAGTGAGTGAATGAGTGTAAGTGGGAGAGAGTGAGTGAATGAATGAGAGCGATTGAGGGAGAATATGAGTGAGCAAGAAGAAGAAGGAGCAAGTGAGTGAGAGACATAGTGGTGTGAGAGTGAGTGAGCGGCAGATTGAGAGCGTGTAAGCGGACATGTGAGAGAGTGAGTGCATGAGAGACAGCAAGAGAGAGCATGAGAGAGAATTTTTAGTGAGAGGGTGAGTGTGAGTGAAGAGCGTGAGTAAGAATGTGAAAGAGCATGAGAGAGAAAACACACGAGTGAGGGAGTGGGATAGGATGTGACTAATGAGTCAGCGAGAGAGCGGTCTTGCTCTTGACTGAGAGTGAATGGGAGAAAGAGAGTGTGTAAGACAGAGTAAGGGAGTGAGCGAGAAAGTGACTGCCAGTGTGAGAGTCAGAAAGTGAGATTGACAGAAAGCAAGAAAGAGTAAGACAGTGTTGAGTGATTGAGTGAGATATAAGATATGGAGAGACAGATGAAGGTGGGGAGTGAGTGTAAGTGAGAGTAAGAGCAAGTGAATGAGCGGAGAGTGAGTGAACGTGAGAGCGACTGAAAGCAAGAAAGAGAGTGCAAGTGGGTGAGTGAGAATGAGACAGAGTGTGAGAGCGTAAGAGTGAGTGAGAGCAAGCAAGATATGAGCGAGAGAGTAAGACAGTGGGAGTTAGAGAGTGGGTGAGAGATTGAGTTAGAAGAGTGAAATATTGAGAGTGGGTAAGAGTGAGAGAAGGAGAGCAAGTGAGAGTGTGTGTGTGAGAGAGTGAACAAGTGAGTGGGGGAGAGTTGAGTAAGAGTATGTGAAAGTGAGTGACAGATTGAGAGAGTAAGAGGCAAGTGAAAGAGTGAATGAGTCAGAGAGAGAGAGTGAGACAGAGAAATTGAGAGAGTTAGAGTTGAGACAGTGAAACCGAGTGAGTACAAGATAGAGAGAGGGTGAGAGAAAGCACAAGGTGAGACAGTGTGAGTGAGTGAGTGTGAGAGTGAGAAAGCAAAGTAAGAGTGAATGAGTAAGAGAGTCAGAATGTGAGAGAGAGTGAAGTGATTGTGTGAGAGAAGCCAGGGAGCAGCAAGCAGAGCATGAGAGAATATGTGTGAGAGTGAGAGAAAGTGAGGGAGAGTAGGTGAGAAAGAGTGAGCCACTGAGAGTAACTGAAAGAGAGCGAGACAGAATGAGAGGGCGAGCAAGAGTGTGAAGGACAGAATGTGAGTGTCAGAGTAAGTTAGAATGTGAATGAGAATGCAAATGAGTGTGAGAGCAAGAGAGAGAATGAAGAAGAGTGGCAGGTGAAGAGATGAGCAAGAGTATGAGTGAGATCTTGAGAGCAATAGAGAGACAGTGGGAGTGTGAGTAAGTTAGAGTGTGACAGAGACCAAGACAGAGCAAGACATTGTGAGAGAGTAAGATTGATTAAAAACATGTATGCAACATTGAGCACAAGTGAGTGAGAGAAAGTGACAGAGAGTGAATGAGAGAGCAAGTGCGAAAGCCATTGAGTGAGACCGGGAGAATGAGAGAGACAGTGAGAGCTTGTGAGTGAGGAAGAGTGCGAGAGCGAGAAAGCGTGAGAAAACTAGAGATAGTGTGTGAGTTTGTTTCACAGGATCTTCTCACTCTTAGGCCTTGGTTTTCCCTGCCTTATCTTTTCAGGTCTTGTAGCAGGAACCTCAGGCTCCATCCTGCCTGCCCTAGTAACTGTTCCTCAAGATTCTTTCAGGGTTCTTTCACCATCTTCCTCTTCCACAGACTCTACACCCTCTCCACTAGAGCTGATTTCAACCATTAAATTCTTTGATAACCCCGATTCCCTCCATGATTGCTCTTCAGAGGCTTTAGGGTACAGACTGAGGTGGGCTCCTGCCCCTGGACCATCCTCAGTCTCTGCTGTCCTGATTGTGTTTGCTCCAGGCGTCTGTATCTTTGCTATAGCTCTAGGACAGGAGCGGCAATGGCTTCACAGTGAGCTCTGCTGTTTATTAGCTGGGGCCAGGAAACCAGGAAGGACTGGGGGGTTATAAAGGCCCCCTCTTTCCCTTTAGGGCCTCTGCTGCAGTGTTTCCTACAGGGATAGACTCAGCATCTAGGCTAGGTGGTATGAGGCCATGTGGGGAGGGGACACAGGGTAATATGCCAGCCCTACAGGGACATTCCAGGGCAGGCAGGCAGGCCCCTCCCTCCTTGAGGGGACAGTAGGGCCATGGGAAAGGGCAGCCCGACATCCGGCTGAAGGGGCCTCACTGCCTTTGGGGATTTGTGGAGGCCTGGTTCCAGCAGCCCCATGGGAGTCTTCTCTGCACACTTAGCTCAATGTTGCCCCCGCGCCTCTCCCCAGGGAAACCTGTTTGACTTTCTGCGTCTGACGGAATGGCGGGGCCCCCGTGTGCTGTACTTCGGAGACCACCTCTACAGTGACCTGGCGGTGAGGGGGAGCAGGATTGGGCCTCAGGGGGATTGAGAGCCTTTCCTGCTGATGCTGAGTCCACCCTCCCTTTCCCCACTGGCAGGACCTCATGCTGCGGCATGGCTGGCGCACAGGCGCCATCATCCCTGAGCTGGAGCGGGAGATCCGCATCATCAACACAGAGCAGTACATGCACTCTCTGACCTGGCAGCAGGCGCTGACGGGGCTGCTGGAGCGCATGCAGGTGTGTGGGGCCCGCCATGCCTTGGGGGATGCTACCTCCTCCATGTGCACACATACTGACCAAGCTCGCACGCTGTCTCCTCAGACCTACCAGGATGCAGAGTCCAGGCAGGTGCTGGCTGCTTGGGTGAAGGAGAGGCAGGAGCTGAGGTGAGCAGTGTGGAGCCAAGACAGGACTCCCAACCCAGCCCCCTGCTGCACCCAGTCCCTACAGCACCCCATGTCTCCCTCCCCAGGTGCATCACCAAAGCACTCTTCAATCCTCAATTTGGGAGCATCTTCCGCACCTTCCACAACCCTACCTACTTCTCACGGCGCCTTGTGCGCTTCTCCGACCTCTACATGGCCTCCCTCAGCTGTCTGCTCAACTACCGTGTGGACTTCACCTTCTACCCACGCCGTACCCCGCTGCAGCACGAGGCCCCCCTCTGGATGGACCAGCTGTGCACCGGCTGCATGAAGACACCCTTCCTCGGAGACATGGCACACATTCGCTAAGGGTACCTTTATTGTATTGTCCGGGATAGTAGGCCCCTTGCCCTCCTGTCCCACCCACTTTAGGCATTTGTCCAGACGAGCAATAAAGGCCGTCCGTCTCCTTCCAGCCATGTCACTTGACTGCCAGGATTCTCTGGGTGTCTGGGAAGTCCTCCTCCAGGAATGAGTCCTGGAAAGAGAGGGCCATTTGTGGCTGGGCACAGACCAGGCCCTGGACCCTCCTTCCATGTCTCCCCACATGTACTCACATCAAAAGGCTCACAGAAGTCATCTTGGCTGCCAAACACAGGGTTGGGTACAGAGACCAGGGCTGGGCTGGTCCCCTCTTGCCACGGGGAGAAGTCATCATCCGCATCATCTGCCTGGAGCAGAATGAGGTGAGGTGAGGGGCCTATGAGGAAGCTCAGAGGACCATCCATCCCTCCCCCAACTCAGCTGTACCTGGAAGGTAGAGAAGCCAAAACCCAGGGTCTTGCCTCGGGCACGAAGGTAGAGGACTCCTGCCACCAGACCCAATAGTGCTCCAGCAGCCACCACAGCCCCCACACCTGCTGCCACAGGTAGGGCCTCACGGGCCAGCACTGCCCTCTACAAACACCAGGAGAATTTTAAGGACTTGGCCAGAGTTGCCCTTCGCCCCTCACAAGCCAGAGCCCCACACCCCTCTAGACTTACAGGCTGTGGGGGTGCTAGGAGGGGGCTGGCTAGAGCATGGATGATGCCATTGAAGGCAATGATGTCCCATTGGATAACACTGCCAACCACAACAGCCCCTGGGACCTGTGGGAAGACCAGGATCAGACCCTATGGGGTGAGGGAGGGCCAGGGCCAGTAGAGAAAGGAGCAGCAGACTCACCACAGGGGTCCAAGAACTGTTGCCAGGGCCCACCTCACTGATGACGAGGTTGAGGCCAGAGTGGGCAGGGAGCAAGACACCCTGGCTTATGTTGGCACTCAGGAAGGTAGCATTGGATGCGTGCAGCTCCAGGTCTGGACCGCTCAGTGTCTATAGGCAAAGCAAGGCCTGTTGGTCTGGGCCAGTCAAAGGGAGCAGAATCTGGCTCTGCTCTTCTCATGCCCCTGCTACCTACCATGTTGTCCACAAAGCCTTCGTTGACAGGAACAAAGAGTGTCTTGTAGGTGAGTTCATCATTCAGGAAGTCCAGGAAGTCGAGACCTTGCTGGGTGGCGTTGGCGTAGCCTAACAGCATCTGGGAGGGCAGCAAGGCAGGGATGAGGGCAGACTCCCTCCCCAGGGATCCAGCTACCCCATAGCCCCAGGTTGAGCCCCCTACATACCCCATAGAAAGTCGAGAAGTTGGCAGTGGCAGCCAATACATCAAGCAGCTTCCCATTGCACATGCTGGCCCCGTCACCCACAAAGCCGTCACGACATTGGCATTTTACATCTGTGGGAAAGTTAAGTCAGTGACCTGGCGGGGGGTGTAGAGCCGGGGACAGGGCACATGGTAGGTTGGGCGTACCTTGTATGCGGTAACAATAGGCGTCCCAGCGCTCTGAAAAGTTCTGACGGGCACCCAGGCTGACGATGCCCACTTGGCCACCACCACAGTCTGCCGCAGGGAACACGACAGGGTGGGCAGCTGAGCCGTTGGCCAGCCAGCCCACAAGACACAGGTGGAAGCCCAGCTGTAAGGACAGGAGGGTAGACTGAGGTACAGGACCCAACTCCAAGGGCCCCCCTCCCAGGTTTGAGCACCCCACATACCTGTTGGGCAGCAGAGAGCTGAAGAAGAGATGCCAGGACAGCTCCCTGGGCCGCACATGCTGCCTCGGCCTCTGAGAAGGTCAGGCCGTAAGGGCCACTGGCGGCTTGGAGGTGGAAGACCCCAGCTTGTTTTTCTGCATTAAAAAGGGGGTGTGGTCAGTTGTTGGGCACAGAGGGACAAAGTGGGGGCACAGGGAGCGGGTAAGGGGGACACACCCTGGAAGTGTAGGTCAGTGCACACGGCATCCACGTGACAGGGTCGGGGTTGGTCCAAACAGCGATCCACAGGCAATTCAGGCTCCTCCAGACATTGTAGCCCGTCACCCACATAACCCATGTGGCACTCGCAGCGCCGTGTGTTCTGTGGGAGGGATGAGCAAATGGGTGCCCTCCAGGGAGTAGGGGCCCAAACTACCCAAGTTCCTAAGCAGTCAGACGCTCCACCCCATCCTTCCTGCTCACCGGGCCAGTGTTGTGACAGTCAGCATGCTCGCTGCAGCCTCCACGGTGACCATCTTCACAGGGATTGCGGGCCCAGCAGATCCTGCCATCACCCTCATAGTCTGGTAGGCAGGTGCAGGTGACCACTGTGCCCATCTGACTGCAGTTGGCATGCTTACTGCAGCCACCATGCCCATCCTGGCACAGGTCCACCACTGGGGGCAGGCAGACAGGTAATAGTTTGATTAGGTGATAGTAGGAAAATGAGGGTACTCCCACCTCCTCCACATCCCCACCTGCCTGTATACCTGTGCATACTCGGCCGTCCCCTTCATAACCCAGGCTGCACTCACAGCTGTTGTTCACACGGCACATGGCCTGGGAAGCGCAGGGTGGCGTGCACACGGGCTGCACCTCTAGCCCCAGACAGCCCCGTTAGTAGCTACCCTCCAGACCTCCCCCTCTCCCTTCAGTTGGGGCATGCACAAGCCAGGGGCCACTCACCCAGCTGCACCTCACAGTGTGGCCCTGTCCAGCCCTCATCACAGAAGCAGGTACCAGAGCCCCCAAGGCCCTCATCACAATGTCCGTGGGAGGTACAGCGGCAGGCTGAGGAGAGGAGCGGGGAGACAGGTTGGTATGATGATGGGGACCAGAGAGTAAGGTAGAGCAGGGCAGGGCAGAGAGGGACTACTTTATAGTCCTACCTTGGCAATGGGGCCCAAAGGCACCTGACGCACAGAGTTCACAGGCTGTCCCAGCGAAGCCTGAGTGGCAAGTGCACTGCCCACTGCCACTCATGCCATCCGAGCACACACCATGGTTACTACAGGGATTGCTGGGGCCTCCGGGGCATGCTGGGGGATGGGGTTGGGGAGTCAGGGTGGGGCTGGGATCTGTCTCCTCAGAACTCTCCCCAACACTCCCATCCATGCTCCACCCATTGGTGATCAAGGCTCTTCCAGAAACACCCATGCCCCCCACTGCTCAATCTTCAGACTCTCTCACCTGGGATGCTCCCCTGTGCCCCTCCTCCCACCAGTCCCTGCACAGTCGTCAACACACAGCCACCTGCCTCTTAGAGCACCTCCTCAGGGCTGTGCCCTGGACTACCTTGGGGCAGAGGAGTCTTCTCAGCAGCGTCCAGGACCTTGTGGTACTCACCTCGGCACTCACTGCCATAGTGACCAGAGCAGCAGCTGGGCTTCCACGTACTGGTGACACAGTTTCGGCGGCAGCCCCTTCCCAAGCTATGGGTACGGCCCCAGAGGCTGGGCCGCCCCCAGCTGCCTTGTACCCATGGGCGCAGTGTAAAAGCTGGTCGTAATTTTGTGTATAAGTGCCAGCAAGCCTCGGGGCTGCCCTAGGTCAAGAAGAGTCAGGTTACAGACACCTAGAACTTGGGGGTTCAAGGTCCTTCCTAGCCTCTCCAGCCCCCGATCCCCTCACCTGGTCCTTCCAGCCCTGAGGACAGGGTGGCTCCAGCCCACAGATGCCACAGGCCTGGACGGAAGAGAGGACCACACAGCACAGTCACATGGACAGGGCAGGTAGGCTGGATTTCCTATCGGGCACCTGGGGCTTAGGGTCTACCTCACCTTCTGCACTAGCTGGGTCTCAAAACGGTCACAGCGGGCCCCAATGCCTGGTGGCTCAAGCAGCTGGTCAATGCCATAGGCCAAGCCACCCTCAAAGGGCAGGTGTCTCTGCACAATGCGGGCGTCATCCTCACCCACCATGAGCTCCCCCTACAGGGGGAAGGTTTGGGGTGTATGGGAATCATATACATTGTTAACCCCCACTGCCAGGGCCTCTGCCTCCCATTTTCCTCATCTAAGCGCTCTCCCCAGACTCACAGGTCGGGTGCGGCTGCAGGAGAAGGAGATGGGGGTCCCATGCATGGTGCGGAGTGAGCCCAGGTTGGGCAGGTCGGATGCCAAAGCCTGAACAGATGGAGCCACAGTTGGAATGAGTGGACAGGTTGGAATGCAGGCAGTGAGGAACAAGATCTGCAAGTGCACTCACCTCGACACTGTGGATCATGTGGCCCCGCAGAATGGCTGCCAGCTTGTCACGATGAGTTTCATGGTACAGCCAGGCCTGGCGCTCAGGGGGCAAGGCTTGCAGGGCAGAGTCTGTGGGCCATAGCATTGTGAAAGGCCTATGGGACACATCTTGAAGCAAAGGCAGGAGTCCAGCCATCTAGTAGGATGGGGCAGGGGTATAGTAGTCACAACTAGCCACAGATTGGTGGACAGGGGCAGGGGATGGGACAGTACAGACCAGGAAGGGCCTACCAGGAATTCTCACCAATCACACTCAGCTGGGCTCATCCCTGACAGACACAGGTAGATGTGGGCTCATACACACAAACCTGCACACACCTTGACTATACACTGTCTTCAGGTAGGTGTGTATACAGAAAGGCATAATAAAGTGCTCACACTGGGAGACAGATGCCAATGTGGCCTGTGCACACCAGTTGCACACACATGTCCTCATGTGGGAAGTAGGTCTGCACACTGAATGTTGTATGCACAAAGAGTACATAGACACATTACACAAGCTCGGATGCACCACTGATAGTCACACACACAGGGACAGTACCGTTATGAGGCTGCTGACGATAGTATAACCGAAGCTCTTGGCAGCAGCGGTGACATTTCTCTGAGGAAAAGTACACATGAGCAACACGGTCCATTGGAGAGCAGAGGGAGGTCCTGGCCTCCAGCTTGTGCCCAAGCCGTACCTTTGGGGTTGGGACAACATTAGGCTCCCAGTGTAACGCATCTGGCGGCAGCAGGACACGGTCAATGAAGTGCAGGATACCGTTCACAGCCTCGTGGTCGCTGCTCACAATGCGCGCGAAGTCATTGATGTATATGCTACCCTAGAGGCGAGGCATAGGCATGTGGGGATGAGGCACAGGGCTGAATAAACTGATTAGTGGGGTGTTCAGGAACTGTGAGTGGGGTCTGAGGCACCACCGTATTGTGTCTAAGAAGCGCACAGTCTGGGGTTCCCAGAGATGAGCCGTCAGAGCTACAGACATGTGGTCAGGTGAAGGACAGGGACGGGGCTCCCTCTGGGAGAAGCTTCACAGTTCAGGAGCAGTGGGAACAAAGCAAGGAGTGGGGGCCTAGATCCTGGGAGTGGATGGAGGTAGGACTCATGTCCCTCTTAATGAAGGTCCCTAGCTTGGGGGAAGGGAAGGGACTTTCAGGGTGACAGGGTGATGGGGAGACCCAGGCACATGTGTGCACAGGGGCAGGGCTTTAGGGGGCTGAGTCCTGTATTCAAGGAATGGGTCCCAGTAAAGGGGGGGCAGGAGCAATGGAGGGAGATGAGGCTCACCTCTCTCTCGCTGAAGCGCAGCGTGTGCCCCGAGAGCGCCGTGATGTACTCAGCATCTAACAGCTCCTGGCTCTCCAGCTTCCGGCAGCCCACTACGTGGTAGCGGAATGCTAGCTGGCGGTGTGCACGAATCCGGGCCAGCTCAATCTGGAATGGGAGCCAAGAAGGGGGTGCAGCTTAGGATTGCCCCACAGTGTCCACCTCTGGAGTGCCCATCCCTCCCAGCCTCCCTCCATGGGGTGTTACCAGTGTCTGGTTGGTCATTAGATCTGAATGTGGCACAAAGATTGTAAAAGGTCCGTCACCCTTGAGCTCCTTGTATTCCTGGATGAACCCAAAGCAAACCAAGTGATCTGCATCAATTCCAGTTCATATCAGCCCCAGAGTAGAACTGCCCCATACGCATAGAACTTTCCAAGCCTGTGAAGTTTTGCAGAAGAGACTGCCCCATCTTTCTCCCATGAAGCCACTGGTGGGTTTGAGCCTGGGACCTCTCCATTAGCAGCCCATGCTTTAACTGCACCACCAGAGCTCTTCACTCCTGGAGGGGTGGGGTGGGGATTGCTGGAGTGCAAGAGGAGCAACCTGGGACCAGCTTGGGCTTCCATAGATCTTTCAAGAAGCACTTGGGCTGAGAGACCAACCCAGAGTGGGGCAGGCCCACAGGTCATCACACGGGTCTGGGCGGGACAGGGGGAGTTAACATGGTCTGGGCACTCACCAGGAGGTAGAGGCTGAAGAATGAGGCATGCCTGTCCCGGAGGAGCTCCTGGGGGGGGCGAGGATCAGCTCAGATTTTGGATAGGCCCCATTCAGGGCCTGGTGCCTGTTCGAGCACCTTCAGCCCAAGGTCTGCTGGCCAAGGCAGAGATGAAGAAAGGAAAGCCAGGGGAGAGGGGGTCTGAGCTGGGGTCATAGCTGGGGTCAGTCCCACGTGGAGTCAGGGGTCAGGCTTAGCCAGGAATCTTGGCCAAGATCATGAATCAGACCCAAGGGGCATAGCCAAGACCAGTTCAGAGGTCAGACTTGAGCGTCATTACCAGGCCAACTCTGGCACGGCAGGTGAATCCGTCCCCCACAGTGTGAGCAGCATCGCAGGTGCAAGTCCTCTGACCGGCTCCTATGCTTTTGCATACCGCATAGGGACTGCAGCCTCCATTGCGCTGTAGCCAGGACAGGAGAGGGACGCATCAGTGGCTCCTCCAGGCTCTTCCCCATGTGTTCCAGGGAAGAGCGGTGCCTGTCCAACCCTCAGACCTTATTTCCTACACAGCAGTTAGGAGCTTGGGGGAGGATGGCCCACTCTTTAGAAATCCTTAGAACCTTGCAGTGGAAGAGGTCCCCTTCCCTGGTGAAATGAGGTGTGGCTGGGAGCCTGACCTGGGAACAGGGGTCCAGAGGTTCACAGTTCTGCACACCATCCCCGCTGTAACCCTCTCGGCAGCTGCAAGAGACCTGTCCCACAAATCATGATCAGTGGGACTTCTGGGAGCCCAGAACTGGCTGGTGCCCAGTCCTGGCCTGAGAAAGGGCCCCACCCTATGGAAGATGTCCAGTGTCCAACTCTGCCCCACTGACCTGCTGGGAGCCTGTGGGGATGCACTCAGCATGAATATGGCAACCCCCATGGTAGATGAGACAGTTGTTAACCTCTGGGGGAAGAGACACTGGGATGAGGGATGATCCTAAGAGGTCTCTCCATTCATGTACCCATCTGAACATCCAAGGGTTCACCCCCTACTCTCCCACTGCCCTCAGTCCTCACAGGTACCCTGAGTCCTTCCTAGTCAGATTCAGATCACTGAAGCTACTTTAGCCCCTTACACACCAGATTGGGAGTCCCAGCCTCACCCTGGCACAGTTCCCCATCACCCGTGTAGCCTTCCTGGCAGGTGCATATCCGCTGTCCAGGTGCCACCTTGGTGCAGTTGGCATGTGGGGAACAGCCACCATGGCCATCGGCACAGGGGTCCATCTCTGGGGGGTAGATGGACCCGGAGAGCCATGAGGAGCAAGTTTGGCACTGGAGTGAGAGCAGGGGGAAAGGAAAAGGCCCGAGCAGGGCAGGACCAAAGCTGGGACACTGGGATCTAGAGGCAGTAGAGACAGTCTGTGGGGACAGCCAGCGGAGGTTTCAGGAACGGGCCTAGGGCATCCATGGGGCTGGACCTGAACATTGGGTGCCGTTGCCGGAGTATCCTGCAGAGCAGACACAGACGGAGGCTCCAGCCGAGTCTTGAATGCAGCTGGGAAGAAAGGCAGCAGCTTAGCCTATGCCTGCCCAGCCCCTGCCCTGATCCCGTCACACACACACCACGACTCGTCCACCTGGACTCACTCACTTGGCATTAGGGTCACATTTCTCTGGGCACTGGGGGCTGGTGATTTCTGGGGGGTACAAGGATAGCTCTGGTCATTAGGACCCAGGAACTGCCTCCCCAGGAGTCGCTGAGCCTTCCCCTTGGGGCCCACTCACTCTGGTCACAGCGGAGGCCCTGCCAGCCCACATTACAGACACAGCTTCCATCTCCATGAAGTCCCTCCTGGCACAGGCCATGGGCACAGTCACATACTGGGAGGGAGAGAAAAGGACAGAGTTACCTCAGTGCTGCCCTCCTGCTGGTCTCTCCACCCTGCCTCCCACCTGCCAGGCTCCTCCCCAGGCCTCACCTCCAGCACAGTTGGCCCCATAGCGGCCCAGCTCACACATCTCACAGGCTGTTCCATGGAAGCCCTCCTGACAACGGCACTCCCCACTGCCCAGGAACCTGTCCTGGCACTGCCCGTGGCCAGAGCACACACCGCCCAGACCCCCTGGGCATGGCTCACATAGTGTGCCAAAGTAACCAGGGCAACAGTCAGGCACCTGCAGGAGAGCGGGGAGGCTCCAGTACTGGCCAGGACTGGACATCAGGTGTTGGAAGAAACAGGGAGGAGGGTATGGTCACCTCAGGACATAGAGTCATAAAATTAAATGAGTTGGAAGGCCAAACCCAGGCTCATGTATATGTTCAGCGCGTGAAAAGCCAATAGAGAAAGCCTTCTACTACCCTCCCCATGGCAAGGGTGAGAAAAGGCTCAGGTAGAGATAGGTCAGATCTACAGTGAGAGACAAAGCTAAACCTGGGACCCAGTTGCAGCCTCTCGGGCTTGGTTGATGGTGCCAGCATTGGGCTGAGCCCCTTTTTCCCTTCCCCTCAGCCCTAGGGACAGACACAGGGACAAGCATGAGCCCCTCTGGCTTCAAACCACTGTCCCCATGCCTCTGCCTTTGGCCCTCACTGGCCTCACTCTAACCCCAGCCCTGCTTCTGTCCTGGAAATGGGCCTCCTCCCTGGTCCCCCATTCCCACCTGTCTGTGTGTGACCAAAGATTTGGGAGGGTTGTGGGGCTTTAGGGCAAACCTCAATCTTCTTGGCACATGTGTAAGAACAGCCCCGGTGGAAGGATAAGCCAGAGCGATAGACACAGCTCTTCTTGGGGGTGTCCTGTGAATGGGAACAGACAGGAGGGGTTAGCCAGTGGAATGGGCAGGACATGGGGAGGCTGTCAGACTACAGATATCAGAGTGGCAGGGACCAACTAGAAGGATGGCAGAGGGCTGAGGCTGTTCCAAGACAGACTGGTTAAGGAGTGGGCAGTAAGGTCACAGCCTTGGGTCAATGGCTGACCAAGACCTTTTCTGAACAGCCCCAGATCCTCTGAGCAGACCTCCAGAACTTCCCCATGAATGTCCCAAAGCTCACACATCCCTGATGAGCAAGTGTGCCTGTGGGCTTGGAATCCTGGGGAGCCAGAGAAACAGGTGGAATTGTGGGAGCCCAGCCTCACCTGTAGCTGGTAGCCCCTGGTGCAGCGGAATTTCCGGGTGCAGTTGGTGCATTTCTCCTGGTGATGGGGAGGGCAGAGCGTCAGGTGGATCCTGACTACTCTTCTACTCTTGACCAAGCACCCCGTCCCCTCCAGCCAGCAGCTCCCAGTTCTTAACTCCCCCGCCCAGCCCTTCTCCAGCTCCAGCCCTCACCCGAAGGGCCTCAGCATGACTGTGTAAGCAGCGGCTGGAGCCCACTGTCAGAACGCCAGACAGGCCAAACAGTGAGGCACCTGGGGCTTCCAGAATGGGGCCTTCCAGAGGCACATGGTTCACTTCAGGCTGGAGGAGGGTGAAACAGGAGGCTGGGTGCCCCACCCCACCCCCACACTCATCCAGAGGCTCTGAGGTCAAAGAGGCACTCTAGGGCTGGGGATATCTTCAGGGCTTGGGGACTCCCAGGATCAGCAGGTTCCCCGAAGTACAGATTGTAGGTTTCTGAGTGGGGGAATCCCAAAGGAATTGGGGTCACCAAAAACTAGGTCCCTTGGGTGGGGGCTCTCCTTGTCCCCTCAAACCTGGCCACTGTGGTTGTAGAAGACCAGCCAGTGGGCAGAGCCCAGAAGTGAGTTTCGGTGCCCCCCTTTCCTCAGGTCTTCCACAGTGAGGGCCTCCCCCAGGATCACATGATGTCGAACTGTGTCCAAGTCCT